CCAAAAAAACAAGAGTGAACTTCTCATAATCAAACGAAGAAAACAGAGAAAAGAAAAAGAATGAATGCCATGATAAAAGATTGAGGGAACCCAACTAACCACGCAGTAGAAGTTTACTTAAAGAACTGAATAAATTGGTAATATCCAGTATGATGTTTATTTATTTAATTCTTCATAAAAGAAAATTGAGCCATTACCTGGTCAAATGTATATGCAGGCTGGCATTGGGTGAGGTGGCCCGGCCATGCCCGGCCCCGAAAAACTAGGGGCCAGGCCCAGGCCTGGGCCACGAGAGTGTTGGCCAGCCCATCCCTTCTTTTGTTTTTTCATTTGTTCTTTTTAATTTTTCTCTATTTTCTATTAGGCTAGATCACAACGGGCTAGGGCCCTCATCCAGGGCCCCTTCAGCCCTGTTCGGGCATGGCCGGGCTAGGGCCGCCTCGTAGGACCTGGGCTGCCTCAGCCTGGTCCGGACTGGCACAGGTCCAGTCGGTCCGTTGCAATGCCCATGTATATGAGGTATAGATTTTTTTAATTTTTTATTTTGTTTATTTATTGGTATTTTCTTTGTATTCGATCTATGAAATGATGGCCTTCACTATTCTCATTGGGAAATTGGTGAAGTTTGGACCTTTCTTTATCCTTTATTATGACTCTTCCCCATTTTATGGTTTTCAATTTTTTGAATTTGTGAATGCAGCTGCAAACATTTTTTTTTGTTTTCTGGCTAATCAATGTATGTCTTTGTAGATTACTAATCAGAAGAAATATTTCTTTGTAATTAGTGTACAGGGGCATTTTCTCCCAAATATTACTTTCTTGTTGTTTAGTATAATCAACCAAGATATTGATTTCTATGGGTCACCATACCCATGTAATTTATATGTATCTAGAGATTGAGAGCCTTAGTAGTAAGCTTGTGGTCTAACAAGAACAATGCACTAGTCTGTGATGTTGTTGTCTTCTCATTGACAATTGTCTAATCAAAATTGGTGGTCAGATCGGATGGATATCGGTCCCCAGACATGATAAATTATATGTATACGAGACTCATGGAAAGGTTCCCCTATACGTAATTTATTGGACATTAGTAATATTTGGTTTTATCATTGCTTATGTCCCCAAATTCTGTCTTCATTGAAAAAAGGACAGCATAAATGTCATTAATGTGAACTCTTTTCTTTGTGCAAATTTCTTCTTTGCTCGGGCTCCATGGACTTTGATTTTTCAACCACCTCTGTGTGATTTAATTGTCTGCTTTTCATCTGAGTATTAATTACCCTTTGTACCTCTTCAGTTCCTTAATCATAAGCCAGAGTTTTCTTTAAATTTTTAATGGGCATTTGGGATTAACCAATGGTCCTATTGGACAACTTATTTGTAGTGATTGTTCCATCATTTGAATCAGATTATTGGCAAGACACCGATGATATATCTCAATAGAGTTGTGGAAGGTTGTTTTGCTAACATAGCTGCGAAACTTGAATCCATGGAGCCTAGTAGAAGTGTCAAGGACAGGTGGGAATCTATCATCCATATAACCTAGTCATGGGATTTTGAAGTTTCTCCTTTGTTCTTGGTAATTTGGGTTTAGAAGGTTTATGGAGATATTCTCTCTCAGAAAATGTTTGCATCGATGACATTGATAAAAGCAGTAATGCTTTTTTGTGTAACAGAATTGCCTATAGTATGATATCTGATGCTGAAGCAAGTGGGGCAATTTCTCCTGGAAAGGTTAGCTTTTCTACTCATATGGAGCTCCTTTGTCCTCTTTTTTTGGGGTAAAGTGCTCCCTTTTGTCCTCTCTCCTTTAGATATCTATTCTTTAAGCTTAACCATAAAAAATAAGATATTTAGTTTTTGCCGTTTTCTATTTCTCATAGTTGAGGTTAACCATAGACAGAGGAAAATCTGTTCTTTGTTTGAGGTTTTTTTCTACTATTGATCTTGCTTTTTGTGTGGATTACTATTTTGAGCTTGTCTTTTCACTGTATGATGTTGGATGAAGAGCCAAAAAAGATCCCTACGTAAGAGCATGAATCATCATGTGCAGATTTGGTTTCATGCAGAGCATATTGGTAGAAGCAACAAGTGGAAATACAGGAGTTGGTATTGCTTTTATTGCGGCAGCTAGGGGATACAAGCTCATATTAACGTTACCTGCGTCTATAAGTGTTGAAAGGCGAGTTCTTCTTCGTGCTTTTGGAGCGGAGCTTGTTTTGACAGATCCAATGAAGGGATTGAAAGGAGCAGTTGATAAAGCTGCAGAAATTGTTCGGAAAACACCAAATGCATTTATGCTTCAACAGTTTGAGAATCCAGCAAATGTCAAGGTGGAGTTTCAAAGGAGCTTCTTATATCTCATTTCTTTTTGCCTTTTGCCCTTCCCATATCAAATCGACTCTTTGCAAATAGATCTAGAAGTGCCATTTTTCTTATGCATTTTGTTGGATTACAGATCCATTTTGAGACAACAGGACCAGAAATATGGGAGGATACCATGGGCAGCATTGATATATTTGTGGCAGGAATTGGAACGGGTGGTACCATCACAGGAGTTGGGCAGTATTTGAAAATGATGAATGACAAAATCAAGGTTTGAACTTCAATATTTTGATTGATATGAACGAAATATCAAATTTTACCATTCAAAGCATAAAAAGTTTGAAGTTTCATTTCATTTGCAGTATATTATTTCACTCCTTTATGATAATTGGGACAATCATGTTTTAGTCATCTTAAATTTGCAAATTTCTTTTTTCTTGCCTAGGTAGTTGGGGTAGAACCAGCTGAAAGCAGCATTATTTCTGGTGAAAACCCAGGTGAAGAAAATTTACTCATTCTAGTAAGAATTTTTTCTGGGCATTTGATTTTAATGGATGCGTTTACCTGCACAATTTCTTTCCTTACTTGAATGTCTTTTGATAAGTGGCATCCATGTCACTGTTACAGGATATATTCCAAGCATATTGGATGTTAAAGTTCTTGATGAAGTTATAAAGGTCAGGAGATTTTTCTTCATCTGACTTCTACTTATTGGATTACATTACTTTGGATGGATGTATAATGGCATTGTCTCTTAAATTGTTTATAGACCACAAAAAATAACGATTAGAAGATCCCCCATGCCTCTGGGGAATTTATTAATGAACATTGTATTGAAATAACTTTTTTTATATAGAATTGGATGATTTTGATTGCTGGTATGTTGGATAACATAAAGATTTGCAGGCATCTGAAAGTAGGTGCCATCATAACTGAAAGGAGACAGGGTATATTGTGGTTGCCTTGTCTCAGGGGCCCACTAGGGCACCACTAGTGACCTTAGGAACACTTTTTTTTTTTCAGGTGCGTGACTTAATGTCAGTTGTCTTGATTTGCACATAAATATCCAACTTCCATGAGGTGATTGATTCCATGTTATTTCTATCCCAAAAAAGAACCTCTAGACCTGGGATTTTAGAAGAGGATTATAATAGAGAGGAGTGGCTTGTGGCTTCTTTGATGCCTGAGCAAATGATCAAGGGCTCTTGCTCTAATACCGTGTCTGAAAGAACTGAAAGAAGAGGATGAAATGTGATTTGTTCTCTTCTCTTGATAAAGGACTGGGTAATATGTCAAGTGTCCTATAACATTATGGACTTCGAAAATTTGTTCTCCTCATGATATAGGACTGGGTAATACATCAAGTGTCCTATAACATTACGGACTTTGAAAAAACCATATTTCCTTGTTTCATTCTCATCATTGCCCATTGAAATATTCCTTTTAATCCTTCTAATCATTGTCGATTGTAATTATGGAGGGTGATGACCCAGTGGACTATGGGTTTACCGTTGTTCATTGCATGATAGTGTACTTCCCGTGCCTGTGGCACCAAGGCTCATCTAATCCTTACACACTATTTCAAGAAAGCTACTTTATCTTGTTGTTGGATGTTAGGTCATGTTTAATATGTTTGACATTTATGAGAAATAATCCAGAATCCTATTAACTAGAATGTTTTAAGAACCATGACCCTTCGCTCCTCTTCCTTGCCTCGTTTCTCCTCTCTCCCTGCTTCTAGCCACCCCCCTTCTTTGCCTCGTTCCTCCTCTCTCCCTGCTTCTAGCCACCCCCCCTTCTCACTCTTCGGTTCACTCTCTTTCCATGTATCGTAACTATGTGAATCTCATCAAATCTTGGTCGTTTAAACCTCCTTCCTTACCCTCTACTCCTGTGCCTCCTCCCTTCCCCCCCCCCTTCCCCTTCTCTGTCGCCCTTCGGCATCCATCCTTCTTGCTTTCTCCCTCTTCGTCCCATCCCCTGGGCTGCATCACCCCTTCGCCTGGAAGCGGCCTTGATCGGAAAGTTCTCTTCCCGATGAGATGATCTTCGCAAAATCGAGCGGTGGGCACGTTCATGCTGGAAAGAAGATGATGTCTCCAGTATACACTTATTGGAAGGGAGCTATCTCTTCATTTTCTCCTCCCAGGCCGCGTCAACCAACACTCTAAAGGGTCCTCTTCCCCCCTTCAAGGGTGCTAAGATCACCCTGACTGCCTGGTCCTCAACTGCTACTGCTGCCTGCCCTCACAAAGTGTGGTTTTGTGCTGACGACATCCCCCTCCATGCCTGGCACCCCCTCCATTCTTCCGACCCTCCTCGCCCTCTGTACCTCGCCGCCTCATCTTCCCCATCTTCCCGTTCTTTTCCCTCCACCTGTGCTCCATCTCGCGCCACCAATTTCCATTCCCTCCTCCCTCTTGGACATGTGTCCCGCACCCGAAGGCGGCTTGTCACCTCGTCCTCTGATACCCTGACTCCTTTGTCCTCTCCACTTGTCTCTTCATCCGAGGGGCCTTGCCCTCCCCCTCCCCTAATTTGTTTCTCCCCCGTCCTTCACCCCTCTCCTCATCCTACCCCCATCGTGCCCCTGGCCTCTCCCACCCGTTCCTCGAGCCGCCTGCCTTCTCCCTCCCAGCCACTTGGCCATCCTCCTTCCCCTCCTCTTGACTCCTCCCTGCCTTGTTCCTCGCCTTCCCACCGTCCCATCTTCTTTCTCTCCTTTGATTCCCCCACTAACCCTCATTTCTCGCCACCCATCCCACCGCCGGTGTCCTTCAAGTCCCCCACCTTAATCATGTCAAGCTGCGCCTTGCCCTTGCTTACCCTTGCAACCCCCTCCCAGCCTTCTATGCCTCCTTTTTTCCTTTTGGTCTCTTACCTTTCTCCCGCAGACTCTCATACCGAGCCCTCGTCCTCTTCACCTGTCTCTCCTTCCATGGCCCGTCGTCACTATGGCAAGTGGCCCTCTCGGCGGGAGCATTCTCCATCCTCCTTCTTCCTGTCTCCATCCCCCCCTCGGTCTGTCATCCCAGATCAATCTCAACATGAAACTCCTCCGTGGTCCTCTCTCCCGCAAACCCTTTTGGTTGGGTGGTCGGTCTCCTTTGGGTACAACCAATCCTTTTCTCTCTTCCATCCCTACCCCTTTCCAATGGCCTTGCCCTCTCTCCATGGGTGGCCCGCTTCCCCCTTTGATCAGGCTGTTACCATGGCTTAGTTGTCTCCGACTCCTCACCCTTCTTTCTTCTCACCCCCTCCTCTCGCTCCTCTTCCTCGACCTCTAGCTGCCCTCCCGCCTCTGAACCCTATCTTGGCTTCTCTCCCTGACCCGGCGCCCCCCCCTCCTCCCTTTCTGAGGAGCCTCATCCTCTTTCTCCCTCACTTGCTGCGACCCCCCCCTCCTCTTCTATTCCCACTACCTCCGGGTGAAGTCAATATCTGGACTCCTCTTACCTCTAAAGCCTCAAGCAGTCTTGGCTCTTCCTCCTCAGTCCCCCTCTCGGTGGGGTCCAACTTTTGCTCAAGAATGGACCAGGCTCAGGGAAGTATCGATAAAGTCATGGGCGTCATTGGATTCAAATTCGGTGGCTCCCCAGAGGACGTTGCGACCTTCTTCAAGTCCAATCCAGAAGCAAGATTCAAAGTAAGTTCCTCAGTTTCCAAGGAAATTTCCAAACTCGCATGTGGAATTAACTATGATGCTCATCGTCCCCACCTCGATGGCGTCCCTTCCTCTTCGGAAGTCCCCCTCGTCTAGGCGACTGTCTAGACATTCTCTATCACTTCTGGGATTATGAAGTTCCTAGTGTGGAATATCAGGGGGCTTCGATCTAACCGAAAGGACCTAGCAGTCCATTCTTTCTGTCTCAAACACTCCCCCCTGATCTTGGCTCTAATTGAAACAAAACTTCCCTCTCTGACTCTCTCTCAGGTTCGGCAGGTCTGGGGTTGCTGCCCCTGTTATTAGGTGGCCCTCGAAGCCCAAGGGTCTTCCGGTGGCATATGGCTTATTTGGGGCTCCTTGGCCTTCTCTCTCGTTGACTCTTGGAGCGCTTCTCGCTCCATCACAGTGTCTCTCCAGCTTAACTTTGATAGCTTGGATTCCAAATTTACTGCAGTTTATGGCCCCAATTCCAATCAGGCGGTCCTGTAGCAGGAACTAGACGCGGTCGCCTTGCATCCACCATCCCGTGGCGCATTGGAGGTGACTTCAATGTCACAAGGTGGTCTCACAAGTGGTCCTCCTCCACTACTATCACTCTGGCTATGCTACAGTTTGCGAATTTCATCGCTCGTCACGGGCTAATCGACATTTCCCTCCTCGGGACCCAATTCACGTGGTCCAACTCTTCGTCGCACTCCAAATTGGACCGCTTCCTCTGCTCGCAGGAATGGGACAATTCATTACCCGGTACAGTCTCCTCGGCTCTACCCCGGACTATGTCCGATCACAAGCCCATCCTACTCGACATTGTCCCCATCCCCAGGGGCCCCAAACCCTTCCACTTCGAACTTTGGTGGATGGAAGAGGACAATTTCGATGCAAAACTGAAGGAGTGGTGGTTGTTCTTCTCCCATCTAGCATTAGGATGGGCAGGCTTCAGGCTTCAAAAAAACATTCTTTTGAAATCCGCGCTCGAAGCCTGGAGTTACCAGTTGCTTGGCAATTTCCACTCTTCCAAAGAAGAGATTCTCTAGTCTATTCTCTCACTCGACAATCTTGATGAATCACGCCCCCTCACGGCTGCGGAATCCCTCTCTCGCCTCAATCTTAAGGCTGACCTGTTGGCTATCCTCAAAAAGGAAGAAATCTTTTGGGCCCAACGCTCTCGCGTCAAATGGCTCAAGTGCGGGGACCTTAACACCACATACTTTCATAAGATTGCCAACTATAGGTGAAGGGATAACTCCATAGTACTGATCGTTCACAACGAGCAACCGATTGACGACCCCCCTACCATCAATGCTACCATAATAGACTATTTTTCCCAATTGTGCTCTGAGTCAACCTGGGTCGTCAAACCACCTATGATAGACCTCTCGTATGGCTTGAAAGACCCTTCTTTGAATTCGAAATCCTCCGAGCTATCAAAGATTTGGGCCAAGACAGGGCTCCAGGCCTTGATGGATTCCCGGTGGCTATCTTCCATTGGCACTAGGACATACTAAGATTGGACACCCTGGCCTTCTTCATCGAATTCCACCAGCACGGAATCATTCACAAGGGAATGAACGCTACGCTCATTGCCCTTATTCCAAAGCTTGAAGGTGTGGTCATCCTACAAGATCTTGGCCAAGGTGCTGGCCACTAGACTCAAAGCGGTGCTTAACTCCTTAATCTCTCACAATCAAAGTGCCGTTGTTCAAGATCGTTAGATCCTTGACGGTGCCTTAATCACACATGAATGAATTCACTCCAGGATGATCGCTAAAGCTCCTGGTCTGATAATCAAATTAGATTGGGAAAAAGCCTATGACCATGTCGACTGGGCAATTGTAGAAAAAACCAAAAGAAGAATGGGATTCGGTGGGAGATGGCGCAAGTGGATTAGGGGTTGCATTCGCAGCCCCTACTTTTCCATTATCATTAATGGACCCCCCCAGGGGTTCTTCAAATCACACAGAGGACTCAAACAAGGAGACCCCTTGTCTCCCTTCCTCTATCAGGCTGGTCTGGCAAAGGGATTTCCCATTTCCCCTCAGAGTCCACCCATCACTCATCTCCAATATGCTGACGGTACCCTCCTTTTTTTTTAGGCCTGCCCTGATCAAGTCAGCATGCTGTTTCTATTCCTCCAATGTTTCCACTACGCCACCAGGGTTCAAGGTCAACCTTCATAAATCCAAAATGATAGGCATCTTGGTAGATCCACCAGTTTTGCAAGCCTTTGCGGATTCTTGGGGTTGCGGCATCAATTCTCTACCCACAACTACCTCGGCCTACCCCTGTGCCATGGAAAACCAAGAAAGCCCAGTGGAGCCATGTGGTGGACAAGGCCGAAAAGAAGTTAGCAGGATGGAAAGGCAGATTCTTATCTCATGCAGGCAGATTGACCCTGATAAAATCTGTCCTTGCAGGGATGCCCACTTTCCAGATGTCCCTCTTCCATTTACCTGCCTCAGTGCGCTCTCACCTGGAGCAGCTCGTGCGAAACTTTCTTTGGTCGGGAGACAGTCCCTCCAAAAAGTTTCATCTTCTATCCTGGAATACCATCTTAAATCGGTAGGAGGATTGGGGATCCGTAGCCTCAAACGCGAAAACCTCGCCCTCCTATGCAAGTGGTGGTGGAGGCTTGCGACTCAACCAGGTGGACTATGGCACCAAATTCTTTGCTCCACATATCACCTCTCTTCCTCACCTTGGTGCATCCCGGCTAGGATTCCTCTGGCTGCCTCTGGTTTCATGCGCTCCATCTTACACTCTCTTCCCTCCTCCAAGTCCCTCATCAGATTCTATCCAAGAAATGGAACAAGTGTGCTATTCTGGTTTAGACTTTGGGGTGGGCGACTCCCCTCTAGCATCACACTTTCCTTCCCTCTATCGCCTAGCCTGGAACCCTCTGGCCTCGGTCGAGGAACTCTTTCCACTTTCAGGCTCTTGGAACCCGGACTTCCGTCGTCCACTGCGAGAAGAGGAATTGGAGTGCTTTCTTTCCATCTCTTCCTTGCTTTCGACCTTTCCTTCCTCGTCCCGTGGGCCAGACTGCATCATTTGGACCCCCAACTATTCGAGGGTCTTTTCAGTTTCCTCTCTTCCCGCACCCCTCTTCCGTCTGTTCCGCCCCATCCCTCTTGGTCCTCAGCTTGAAATTCCCCCGTTCCCCCTCGGGTCCAATTCTTTGCTTGGCTGGTGTTGTGGGGAAGAATCCTCACAGTAGACCAACTTAAGAGACGCAGCTTTCAGCTCCCAAATAGATGCGCCATGTGCCTAGAAGAGGAAGAATCTGTCGATGATCTCTTATTACACTGCCTGGTGGCCCTACACCTTTGGGGGGAGATCCTTGCTCTCTTTCAGTGGGTATGGGTTACACCTTATTCTATTCTTGACTTATTCAACCTTTCAGCCTTCTTACCTTGGCCAAAAGCAGGGCGCCTATTGTGAAATATCACAGTTGCGGCCACCATATGGTCAATTTGGAAGGAACACAATAATAGAATATTCCAAGGGAGATATGCGCCGGCCCATAAGATTTTGGATACGATTAAGGCCCTTGTAGCCGTTTGGGCCTCCAAAATCCAATTCTTCAAGGGACTGGTGGGTCATGACTTCCGTGTCAATTGGGCCTCCATTCTGTCCCTAAGAAGTCGGAGAATCCCTCGATCGTCTCTCTGGCAACCACCGGAGAGGGGGTTCATCAAATTCAACTTCGATGGTTCCTCTTTGGGCAACCCGGGCCCGGTCGGAATAGGGGGCATATACCGCTACCTCACGGGTATCACCCTTGCCTTCTCATCCTCTATCGGGGTCTAAAACTCCACAGAGGCAGAGGTGCGTGCTCTACTTGAAGGCTTAAGACGCTTCGACCCTGCCTGGGGTCCTTCCCTCATAATAGAAGGGGGCTGCAAGAATGTTATTCATTGGGCTTCCCAGTTAGCTAGCCCTCCTTGGAGATTATGGCACATCTTTGACCGGATTTATACTTTATGCAGGTGTACACAGGTCTCTTGGAAACATATCTGGAGGGAGGCGGCTTTCCAGTTAGCTAGCCCTCCTTGGAGATTATGGCACATCTTTGACCAGATTTATACTTTATGCAGGCGTACATTGGTCTTTTGGAAACATATCTGGAGGGAGGCAAACCTAACAGCGGATGAACTAGCAAAACTTGGAGCATAGAGGGAGTGACGGTGTCTACCTTAGGGGAGTGTGTTAACGGCTATTAGGGTCTTCCGATTGTCCCTTGGGTGTTCTTGGGTCCCTTTTTGGGTTTCTTTTTCGGTTATACCATCTTTTTTTTCTTTCGGTTTTTTGTTTTTTTTAGTTGTCACCTGCCTCGGTGACTTTTGTTACCCGTTTGGGGTTTTTGTATCTATGTACTTCTTTTACCCTCAATACAATGTCGACTTTTATCAAAAAAAAAAGACAAAAAAAGAAGAAGAAATCTGCTGCCTTTCTTGTTTTAACTAAAATCTTCCTTGTAATTTGTTTGGTTTCCAATCCCTGTTATTTCATAGTATCTGCCTTCAGTTTGTCAGAGATAGGATTTCAAGCATTTTAGTCCCTGCCCATGAACAACTAACTAGCAACGTTGAGTCCCAATAAATGTAATGTTTGTTGAACTTTGTAATGAATTATATGATAATATATTAACCTATCTGCTTTGGCTAATCAATATAGGCATCTCTATCTTTGTGTGAGCTTTTATATCTAGAACCTGTTCATCAAAGAAGAAAATTTTCATTTCTAAGGAAGTGCAAATCGAAAAGAAAAATAAATAAATCCAAGCGATGAATCCAAGTGAATTTTGTCAACTTTCATCCCCCCCACCCAACCCAAACAAAGAAAAAAGAAAAGAAAAAGAAAGGGAAAATATAAAAAGAACTTCTAGATCAGATATCTAACATTGGGATAAATCTGGTTCTCTTGAACTTGCAGATTACCAATGAAGAAGCAGTTGAGATGGCAAGATCACTGGCACTGAAAGAAGGTTTACTGGTAAGCATTTGTTGATTTCATGAAACAGCTATTGAAAGGAAGCATCTCTTACTGTTGACTTGAGCATGTTTTAAAGTGAAGCATTTTTCCATCCAAACTCAGCATCAGAACCGCAAAGCCTTATATGTGTGTAGGTATTCATGAGTGCATATATATGTTTCTCTTTCTAGGTAGGTATATCTTCAGGAGCTGCTGCTGCTGCTGCCATCAATGTAGCGAGGAGACCTGAAAATGCAGGAAAGTTAATCACGGTGGGAATCTCAAGTTCTACTACCTTCTAAAACTTGTTTTAGATCTAAAAACCAATTATAAGAATTTATGTTATCGTGTTAATTAGTTTATGTTTGGTCTCTCTCTCTCTCTCTCCAGGTTGTATTTCCCAGTTTTGGAGAGAGATACATACCTACAACTCTTTTCAAGTCAATCAAGGAAGAGGTTGAGAAAATGGGACAGAAATCATGATTAATTCCTCTTGCTCACGCTCCAAAAAGATAATTCCTTGGGGAAACCCATGACATTTTGTAGCAGATGGAAGAAGCATGCTTCTATTGCTGGAATTCGACTTTGCGCCCTGCATCCTAAGATGGGTTTTCATGAAAATATTTGCAGGTAAAAATTAGCAGGTGATTGGAGGCCATTGAAATTTTATTAAAAATATGGCTGAAGCCAATATTGGTAAATTGAAGTGGAAGAAGAAGAGGTTCACTGAAAGGTCGAATTGTGACCTTAGAAATTTGACCTTAGAAATTTAAAGTTCACTTCCAGATGTTGTGAAGTGTTAATGGGTAAATCAATTCATTTTCACAATCTTTGTAGAAGCTCGCCCAAGTGGTTTCTGCTTATAGCCATACTATCTTTTACTGTGGCAAATCAATCCTCAAGATTTTTGCACAATATAGACAAGTCTTATAAAGTTCTATTAAGTACTAGAGTTGCAAGAATTTAGAGAGAGAAAATAGGTGTGGTTTTGATTGTAGAGAGAGATTGACATGTTTCACACAAGTTTCCACACTCATTTGTTCTATACATATAAGGTATGAGAGTATTTCTATATTAACACCACTCTTCAATTTGGGATTAAAATCTATTATACTATCTCTATTAACTTAAAAAACAACACAAGTAGGTATATTATTTTAAAGCATACTATAGTAAAAACAACACAAATGGGTATGTTATTTTAAAATATACTAATAGTATTTTAGTACACCTAAATACTAGCACTTGTATGGCTGTATGAGAGAGAGAGAGAGAGATTGTACGTGTGAAGAGTTTCAGACAGTATGCTAGCACCTCTCTCAACCCCACATGTTTAAAACCCTAGCATGGTACTAACTACTAAACATTAGGTCTGTGGCCTTACAAGAAAATAATGGCCGTTATCAAGGTAAAACCCCAGTCCGTTATATGATTCGATAGAAATGGGGTGGAATATAACGGCCATTGCTTGGGAACCAGTAAATACGCGACTTTTAAATCCATCATGCTTCTATCCTCTCACCATTTTTTTTTTAAATGGGTGCGGTTTGTATATAGCTGAGGCTCTAAACAATCAAAGTAAAGCCTACCTTCAGATTAGTATCGAGAAATGTGGTTTCTAATACTGAAAATCTTTATGATACCTTTAATATATATTTTCATCATTAATTATAAAATTTAAAGCTTTAAAAATAATGTAGATCTATAAAAACTTGATAATCTAAAAATTGACTGTTTAAAATATGTGTTATAAGATGCATTATTTTTAAAACTTGAAATCCATTCTTTCTCATGTTCATGCATCTTTATAAATGATCAATTTGAAGAAATTTGAGTATCAAAACAACCTCTAGTGAAATTTTTGAGGTGGGCTCTAATTCATTGTTTAGAGCCTTGGCTTTATATAAATTTTTCCCATTTAAAAAGGGAAATTGAGCAGAGGCTCCAGAGTATATAAACTTTTCTTATCTATATAGAGCTGAGTTTCTAAAGAATCAAACAATCAAATGAGAGCCTACCTCAAAATTTTTAGTAGAAGAGGTTGTTTTGATATCCGAATATCCTCAAATTGATCATCTCAACATCAAAATGCAAGGACATGAGAAAAAAAAATAGATTTCAAGTTTTGGAAATAGTGTATTTGATGATGCAATTTTTAGACCATCAATTTTCAAGTTTTTATAGATTTGTCGATCTACACTATTTTTTTAGCTTTAAACTTTATAAATAAAATGAAAATATATTTTATGGCTATCCCAAAGATTTTCAGTTTTGAAACCACATTTCTCGACACTATTTTAAAGTAGGCTCTAATTTGATTGTTTAGAGCCTATGCTCTATACAAACCACACCCTTTTTAAATTCCCCCTCATTTTCTCTCTGTAAACTCCCATCCCCAAATTGAATAATTATCTACATATTATAAACCATGATGTAATTGAAAAAAAATCATATAAATGTATTCTTTAAATTTTATTCATGTAAACAAAATTTGAAGTACTATATTATTGGCACGCCAAAAATAATAATTGGGAAGGGGTTTTATATGCTAACTATGACTGCCACTTCTAAAAGTTTTTGTAATAGTGTTTAACTTACCAAAACCAGTAGAAAGAAACAGGACACAATTAAATACAAAATTAAATCACTATGGGGTTCTTTTTTGCTTCAGATGTTTAAGTAGTGTAATTCTCTTTAGGTTTAAAAACAAGGGTGCAGTTGGCATGTGGATGCATCCGTAGGTGTAGAGATAAGTTGCACTTTCAAATTTATATAATTTTGATGTAAAATGTTTTTAGGATTATCTCAAAATCTATTTTTATATCTAATTATAAAATTTTAAATTTCAAAAATGGTTAAAATCAAATAGATCTATAAAACCTATGAAAATCTTGAAAATGGACGGTGTAGATAATATGTTGTAAAATGCACTATTTTTCAGATTTGAAATCTTTTTATTTTTTATAGTCATACGTCTCGAGATGATCAATCAAAGGGTTTTCCAACATTAAAACTATTTTTTCCGATGAATTTTTGAGATGCATCCGTAGTTCTACATTATAAGGTAGCATCCTTATATAAACTTTTTCCTAAAAACAAATCTGATATTTTTTCTTTTCTAAATTTCCAGTTTTTTGATTCAACGGTTCTTTTACACAGTTCCGTGTTATTTTCATATTATTCCCGAGTTTAGCCTTGGAGATGCAACTTCATTTGGCCTTGCATCCTAGGGACAATGTTGATTTTATGAAAAGACGTAAGGGCCATTCCTGTATTTTCCCAATTTAAAAGGCCGCTATTCTTTCCCGCCCTCTTTTGGCCGCTCCCAAAAATTCAAAATTTTCATCACACTTTCCAATCAAACGACTGAAAAACACAAAACCCCCGCCTCTCTGTCTCTCTCTCTCTCTCTCTCTCTACTAAAAAGTAAAAACTATTCTCTCTCTCTCTCATAGCTTCCACAAAAATGAGCAGAGAGATTTTTCACGCATCGCCTAATAAGGGTCTGAATTTCCGGGTATGGTACCTTTCACTCTCTCTCTAACACCCTCTCTCTCTCTCTCTAACACCCTCTCTCTCTCTCTAGATTCACTAATTTCTCTGCGAATCATCAGATCTAGTTTCCATTAGAAAAGCTCTCTAAATAAAGCAGGAGTTTGATTCTTCTGATTTAATAATTGGACGCATTCGTCCCGTTTATTTGAAACATTCAAGAATTCTCTCTCTTTCTCTCTCTCTCTCTCTCTCTCTCTACATTCCTGTAAATTTTCAGAGGATTGGATGGTATTGATATTTGTTTCTGAGGAATAGTATTTATTACTATATTTTAGAGCATCTAAGGTGAGTAGTGAATAATCAGATTTTTGCTTTTAGGACACTGTAACTTGGCCTTGGAAATTTTTTCTCAGAGAGAGATAATGATCCCAAATTTTGATGAATTTGGATGCCAGATCTAGTGAGAGAAACCCCAATTCTTTGCCATTTGTTTTCACAGTTTGTTACTTTCAATGCCCCACATTACAATAGAAACCTCCATTTTTGAATCAGACAGTTGTTTAGAGTGAGAAACCTGGTTTCCTTGTAAAATGCTAATGCCTATTCATGATTTTGAAGTTGGGTCTTGAGAGAGAAACCTATTTGTAGGGTTTGTATGTTCTCCTTTGAGAAACAATGGTAAGAGAGTGCAGTATCAAATCGTTCTATGACCAATTAAAATCCTCTGCATCTCTTTCTCTCTCTAACCCTTTGCTCATCTTCCCTTCCACTTCAGATGCCGACTCTCTATGTGCTCTTAAGATCATAACCCATGTCTTAGCTTCTGATTCCATAAGGTACTCTTGCTACCCCATCTCTAGTTTTAGAGAGATAGAAGAAGTTTCAAACCAGCTTCTTCAATCTTCTGACCAACCCATCTCTGCACTCTTCATCAATTGGGGTTGCCACAGAGATCTTCGTCGAATTTTGAACTTGGGTCCTCTGGTACAAATATTTGTAGTTGATAGCCATCGGCCAATTCACCTTCACAATCTCAGTGAAAGCAACAAACATGTTGTTGTTTTATACACTAAGGAAGATGAAAACAGGCAGATTTGGCCTATGATTTTGATGTATCAGCTCTTGCCAATGCTGCTGATCTAGATAGTGATGATGAATTAGAGAGAGAGGGAGAGGGTGAAGATAGTGCAGAGTCAGAGAGTGATGAGGAGGATAACAGGAGTAGAAAGAGAAAGAAGGTCTCTGATAAAACTGACCCAATGCGGCTCTTTCAAAGACTGAAAGTTGAGTATTACAAATTGGGTACCTTTCATGGAAGGCCTTCAGGTTGTCTAATGTTTGATATTGCCCACATTTTCAGAAAGAACACGAATGAGCTTCTATGGATGGCTTGTGTCTCTCTGGCCGATCAGTTTGTTCACGAGCGGCTTACAAATGAAAGGTACCAAGCCAGTGTTAATGAGCTCGAGCAACATATTAACAGTTCAGGAAATCTCGATGCGATCACCTCGGTAACTCTAAAAGATGGGACTAAAATCAAAGCGCCTGATGCTTCGAGAATTTCATATGAAGATGAGCCAAGGCTTATGTTATTGAGAGAATGGACCCTTTTTGATTCGATGCTTTGTTCCTCCTATGTTGCCACAAAGCTCAAGACTTGGACTGATAATGGGGTGAAGAAATTGAAGCTCCTTTTGGCAAGGATGGGGTTTCCTCTTGTTGATTGCCAACAAAAATTTCAGTACATGAGCATGGAAGTTAAGCAAAAGATGAAGGATGAGTTTGAGAGGTTCTTGCCTGAATGTGGGCTAACTGATTTTTATTACAGGAGCTTTCTCAGGCTTCATGGCTATAGCTCGAAGGTCTCGGCAGCTGATGTGGTTTATGGGGTAACTGCTTTGCTTGAGTCCTTTACTAAGACCAAGGATTCATGTGCTGAGAGGTTCTGGGTTGCTTACTCTGCTCTTTCTCTAAACAATCTTGAAGAGTTGAGGAAGGGAATGCAAATTGCAATTCAGATACAGAGGGCGATATTAAGGCAGGGAAGCTCGGCAGTTACAAAGAGTGGGTTCATCAGGAGCTGTAGGAAATTCAGGTAAGGAAACGTTCTTTCTCTTTCTCTTTCTAACTCACTCACTCTCTCTCTGTCCCTCTTATTGATTCTTAAGAAGTGATGGTATGATGTTTGCACTGGCAACTCGCTCTTTCCCATTTTCATCTGAGACATAATTCCACATGTTCAAATTGGCAAGATTACTGTATCTGAATTCACAATCTACATTTTGACTAATTTTGCTGTCTTGAAATCTAAACTATTCATTTTTTTCCCTCGTGCGAATGAAATGTGCTTGGGATGGATCCAAATATTTATTTGTTTGCCTATCCGAGCTTTCCTGAATATATGGTAGATGTTAGTAATTTCTAAAGGGAACTTGTTAGACCAATATGCTTCACCCTCTCTCTCTCTCTCTCTTTCTCTCTCTATGTCTCTCCATATGTAGAAATGCAGGCCTATTAATAAATCTATTTTTGAGATGGATTTTTGGACTTAATTTTTAAGGACATGTAGTCTCTAAATGGGGATCATGAATATGAAAAATAAGTAAATTTTAAAAAGTAGAAATAATAATTCTAGTAAGAAAACATTTGGACTGTTAGTTTCCATTGTTTTGAAATGGAACACCTACTTGCATCCACCCTTAAGATGGATGCTTTTCACTTTTTGGACCGCATATGTAGTCATGCGGTCCAGCCTGCATGAAACAATTTTCCATTTGTTTAAATCTTGAATTTGGAATTTTACTTCATTCAAAGTAAATGATTGAATTTTTTCTTTTTTATGGATGAATTCTGTCCATTATTGATGCAAAAATATGGTGGTCGGTTTCCCTCCCCACAGTATCCCTTTCCATAAACTTGAACCTTGATAGAGGCTAGTAGTTATAGAAATAACGTGTATCATATGACATCTCTCTCTCTCTCTCTCTCTCTCTCTCGAGACTAGTAGTTATCAAAATAACTTGTACTATATGACATCTCTCTCTCTGTCTCTCTCTATCAGTCAGTCACTCACCTGGGGTTGTTAAAAATCATCCAAATGCAACATGACCTGAAATTGCCACTGGGTTCCGATGTTAGTCCAATAACTTGCTTTTGTTTTTCAGGTGGGTGAAACTTGGAGATGCTTTAGATGCCAAATTGTTGGGATATCCTCAAGCCTTGACGAAATTCTGTTTTTTTCTTATTGATGCACTTAGAGAGAAGGGGGCAGCAATGAAACCCATGATATGTATTTGCAGAATGGCTGATCCCGAAAAGGCTCTGGTAGTTGGAGTGGCTGGTAGGCCAAGGCTTGGGGCTCTCCAAGCCAATAGCTTTGGAATTGCCTTTAGGGCGGCTGCTGAGGATATTGGGGGTGAGTTTTCCCATGAGTTGTTTGAGTCCTCATGGATTGTATTAGACACAGTCGCTGTGAATTCTTTCATGACCAAGATCTTAGAGAAACTATGATACACTCACATTAGTCTCTCTCTCTCTCTCTCTCTCTCTCTCTCTCTCTCTGTATTGTTAACTTGAGGTGTTCTATTGCTGCTGATGAAATGTTGATTCATGTGTAGTGGCTCATGGATGGACTCACTGATGAAGCGCCCATTTCCTTCTTTCTTTCCTTGTCTTTTTAAGTTTTCTAAAGGGCAATCGAAGTTGTAACATTCGGGCTTCTTTGTTTCTATCTAATTTCAAATAATAATTGAGCGAATATTTGATCTTAAAAAATGAATGTTGTTATGTTTGTATGGGTGTTCCAAGCCGCTACAATCATAGTAAAGATGTGAGATTTATTGTTCTGAATATTTGTGAATTGATATTAATTTTGGAGCACTTATATGAGTTCGAACTTGTGAGCTAGTGTGTTTGTTTGTGTGTGTAAAAATTGTTAGTGTGTTTGTTTGTGTATAAAAATCTTCAACTATGTATTATGTAAAGCATTTATGTTTAATGGTTAAAATAGAAGCAAGTATGCATATACATACATGGATGTAATAGATGTGGATGCTTAAATATGGGTAGGGTTTTTTGTGTGCCTCCAGACATATGTATTTGTAGTGCATACACCTTCCAAAATCCATCTTGGAGATGAAGTCTGATAAAAAACTTCATGGCTCTATCACTTGGTCATCACAATAATGAAACCGAATTTTTTTTTTGTAGTCTAAAAAATGGTCCATCTTGTATCCTATTTATGGACCCTTAACATTTCAATTCTTCAAGGAACATCAGATCTACGCTTTTTTTTTTGATATTGTTCACATAGTATAGATGAATTAGAGAGTTACAAAAACAGCACCGAGGGGATTACAAAGTAAAGTCACCAAGAGAGGTGACCAAACTACAAAAAATGAGAAGTAGGATAGTAACAACAATAAGCGACAAAGATAGCCCAACACTCTATCAACCAAAAATAAAGATTGTGAAATGACCCAGAGGCCGCTTTGAGTTTGGTGAGTTCATTTGTGACCTGCTTGGCCTCCCTCCAGATGTGCTTCCAAGAGACTTGCATATGCTTGCAAAGGTCATGGATTTCATCAAAAAGATTCCCAAGTGTCCACGGTGGATGTGAGGTACTAGAAGCCCAAGAGATGACGTTTTGAGAGTCCCCTTCTACCAAGAGAATAGGGCCTCAAGAGTGGTCGAAGCACTTGAGACCATCAGAATGGCATGGGATTTTGCCTTAGTTGAAGCTGCAATCCCGGTAAACAAGGAGAAGGAGAGAAGGGATAATCCCTTGGAATTTCAGAAGATTCCTCCAATTCTTGTTGGCCTAGGGCAGTGATTTAAAAAGCAAACTGCCCAGCTTCTAGGCGGTTGAGAAGACTTGGACGCATCGCCCAGGCTTAAGCGGCAAAAAAAGGTAGAAATCCCTGAGCACCAGAGAACTTGCCTAAGCGGGTGCCCAGCACCTAGCCCTAAGCGGGCACCCAACACTTAGCCCTAGGCACCCAAGGCCTGCGCCCCACCCATGGGCAAAAATGCCACTCGTTGAAGGCATTTTTTAGTCATTTTTTTAATACTAAAAAGGTAAAATTGTGGGTTTTAAGTTCATTTGAAACCTAAACTCTATTATAGCCTATTTTAGAGAGATAAAAACCCAAAAAAACTAGTTTTTTGTGATTTCTATAGGATCAAAGGGTTTCTCAAAGTTACGAGAAATTGATTTAAGCATCACCTATTGATATTAGATTTAATTTTTGATGTTTTATAAATCTATTAGAGGATTTTTTAAAAGATTTTGAGTCTTGGGAAACTGGGCTGCTCAAGTTTTGGGCACCCGCCTAGGCGTTGGGTAACTTGGACCCCCGTAGCTGCCTAGGCTTCACCTTGTGCTTTTTGAAACATTGGCCCGGGGTTACCAAGCGATGAACCATCAAAATTAAGCTTGGTGGTGCCCCTCTCAGGAGGTCTCCAGTGAGCTTAACGTGGCACCCTCTTTGGTCGGTGATTGAGGACATTGGCCCTATTCGAGTGGAAGTCGGAGGCAAGAAGGAATTTGAACTGCCTGTGGTTGGTGGCCCAGAAAATGACAGTCGCTCGAATGAAGTCCTTTTTTTTGGGGGTTGGGGCTGATATCCTAGGAAAATTATATTGTTGCGTTCCTTCTATATTGTCCAGATGGTCACTGCCATGGTAGCTTTCCAAAGCATGGACCTGGACAAGGCCCAAGGGAGGAAGGAAGATATATTGATGAAGTTGGGCACATTCTCAGGTGTCACTCATTCCCATTGGAACAGGGTGAGGGAGTCACTTCAAATTGAAGCCACTAGAAGACAGTAGATAAATAGATGTGCATTAGTCTCCTATGCTTCAAGGCACATGACGCAGCGGTTGGGAGTTTGCGTTCCTCTCCTCTGAATTTGGTCGACAGTTAGGATTCTGCCCCACAAGGCCAGCCAGTTGAAGACCTGAATTCTGGTTGGAATGAAGGGATTCCAAGCTTTGGGGATAGCAGGGTGGCTGGCTTCAGGCCCAGAAGGGACTACATTAAGTTTAAGGAATAGGGAGGAGACCGAAAAAGGACCCTGAGTGGGCGGCTGGTGTCCAGATGATTTTGTCTTCCCCCTCAGAGAGAGGGAGGGAAGAGGAGAGGACTTAGAGGTTGATAAAGGCCGAGAGTTACCTCATCCCCGAGAAGGGAAAGAGAATGAGAATGGTGACTGAGGGGTTCTGGCTAGGCGAAAGATGTTGGGAATGGTTTTGAAGTGATTTTAGGATGTGTTTAGGGTCTTAAAACTCTTGAAAACCAAGACGGACACAAGAGTCGGTAGACTCTCCAAAACCATGTCACTTTAATATACACATGTAATATGGGAAACTCACAATTTTATAAACATAGATTTTGATATTTATACAAACAGAAGTAAAGCCAGAAAGAAGAAAATGTATATGAACTTTGGAGGGTAAATATAAACATCAACGGAGATGGTGGTGGTATTTTAATGAAAAAACTCACCTGATATCTTGTTAGGGATAGGCATCCCCTAATCTCTGGTAAAAGTATGAGGAAGCTTTGGGATTCTGAGAAGAAAATCAAAATTGTTTTTCTATGCATGTTCTACGTCATAGGGTTCCAGTTTATTGCCAAAGTTCCCAGAAAACCAGATTTCTCATATGGAAAGAACAAAATATTAAGATAGTCAGATACTAAGCCTTCTACTACTACTTAGTACTTAGGTTAGGAGAGACTAAGCTCTATTTCAGAGACTGGACTTGCTGGTTTCTGATTAATCTGGGCTGTTCCCGATTGAGGTTCCCTAAACAATTCTGACCTAAATGGATTTTTGAAGAAGGGAGAGGGGGCAGGCAGATATGACGGTCACACACACCTCTTTTTAGCCGACTAAAGCTGGTAGGATCATCCACTACATGGAGAGAAAGATTGAGAAAGCAACCTATGAAGATTAAAAAGGCGAACAGAGATTTTGGCTCTATGTCATCATAGATAAGGGAAGAAGCCCACCCCCGATCGAAGAATGAAAAATTGCACCAGGCGAGTGTCGTAAGGCCTCGCTCTGTAAAAAAAATTATTCTAGTTATCAAAATATTTAAACACTGGGATATGGTGCCTCCTAGTGCAGTTCTTTTCTATGTGATCTGTGTTATTCTTTTTCCATATGAGTAATCCTTCTCACTAGAATAGAACCTATATTTTTATGTTCTTTTTCCATAATACCTCGTTTTCAGGCAAAAGCTTAATATTGAGAGCTCTTCTAAGATTAATGCTTTAGCTGGAATTAGGGTTTTAGTTGGTAAATTGATAACGAGAGAAACACTTGGTGGAATTCAAAAGTCTCAGGAGTGTTAACATTGTGGGATTCTACACCTGGTTTGATTGGTTATGGTGCAGACTTCACAACACCATGTTAAAGATCCAACTTCGACCTACGACCTACTCGAAGAAAAATATGTTGCTCAAAATGCAGCTTATAAGCTCCACACTCCTCTCCTATGCTCATGTTATGCTATGTCCATTTTCAATGACTGATATGGAGTTCATTGTGGCTCCTAAAGGCAGACATTTGCCTGGTTATGGTCCATGTTCACCATCCATTGCTGAGAATGGATAATGGTTGGCTGTCCTGATATTAGACACAGGCTGAGCATGCTATACTTTTCTGGCCAGCATATAGTTATTAAAAGCAATTAGGCTATGGATTTCCTAGTGACGGCTTCAACCTCATTCGACGGGCAAACAAAATCGTTCCTTGTTAGATTGACACTGACATACCTACACCGACCTGGATAGATTTGGGTTGGACTTGGACAGACAGGTCAGGGTTTGTTGGATCGGGCCTCTACTTATTGTGTCCATTTCCAAGGTTCGAACCTAGATCCCCTGATTTGCACCCCTAAACCTCATGGAAGTTGGAACCCAACCAAAGTCCATTAATAGAGATCTTTCAACTAATCAGCCATGACTCTAATGAGATAACCAAGTTTATAGGTTGGCAGTGGGCCTGGCATCCTGGCCCTGCTCTGAGAAGGCAGGCCTTGCTCGGGCAGGGGCCAAGGCCCCTTTGGTCTATGCTGAGCTCAGGCTGGCACCATAGGTGACTTGGGCCGAGCTCAGGCCAGGGCTGGCCCAGCTGAGCTCCAGACTGTTGCTAGCCCTGCAAGTTCATAGGCAAAGTAGTAGTCTGCTTTTTTTGGGATTCAAATGCTTGAATGCCTATACACATGCCTATACATTATGAAGACCAGTTGGTGGTTAGAACTTGTCATCGGCTGGCCAATTCTCTGATGTGAGAATCGATAAAAATAAAATAAAATCAAAATAATATTCTACATTTGAAAACTTAATAATATGAAAAAATCAAAAACTAAAATAAGTGGAAACTTCATAGTTTGTCTGATAGAATCCCTGGGTTTCTCTAGTTACTCACCTAATTCTTTGGCAGAGTTGGGTGAGTCACTTTCAATCGGGTCAATTCCTAGTTAGGCGCAAGAATCTGCCTAGGCATCTATCGACGATTTCCGATTGGGATTGTTAATTTTAACTCATTGACAAAGACTTTTGCCATCTACACGGTTTCTATGAGTCCATGCAGAAATGGGTCGTCTTAAAAATCTAT